TATTGTAAACTGTTAGCGGATAATTGTTTATTTAAGTATCTATTACTTATGAATGAAGCCTATGGTCTAGCCTAGCATGCAAAATCTAATTATTTAGTGATGCTTTGAAATTGATTATGGCAGTCAATGGACCCTTTCTAAGACACTGAAGATCCGCAAAACGTTTGCAAACTACCGCTATGTAGGCACGTGTTCAACCAACGTGTTCAATATATTTAACATCTCGTTCATTTATACCCAAAACACTAAAAGCTGTATTTAAGTCTCGATAATACAGCTTAATTACTTGTCATGTGAATCTACAGAGAATGTCACCTCCAGTAATTAGACGCTGTTAAACAATGAGCACAAGCGCGTGTACACACACACACACATTTACAGGAATCACCGGTTCAGTGCAGCAGAACAACAAAAAGGACTGCAGCCTTTCGCCTCACTTTCTCCATTCCTAAATCCACTTACCCGCCCCTTCCCTTCCATTTCCTGCCCTCACTTCACTCATTCACTCTCTCTCTGGTTTAAAACTGAAACCCAGCATGTTCCCAACCTCCCTCAGTAACACAGCTAAACTCCACATTCTCAAGCTATTACATCACAGGGGGCCTCTCAACGAATGCCGGGCCGGTGGATTGTTTTGGAGGAAACTGACCCGCAGTTGCAGTTACTGGAAAGGTTTTGTGTTTACAAATGAGTCTGGTATACAAAGCCGATCCAAGATCGCAAGTGGACGTCATCAGTTTCGAATATCTGCTGCAATGCTCCTGCAACAGTAAACGTTCATATTCGAAGGAAATTGGTGATTTGGTTTCTGATTGCGATCAAACAGCCTATTGTTTATGACTTGCATTACTGGAAGCAGCATGTCTCGTTTTGCATAATACAGGACAGGATGGCGGTGACACGAAACGCTTCCTCGTGGACACAGGAGTAGGGTTGGGTATCGTTTGAATTTGAACGATTCTGATTCTGATTGCGATTCCTTGTTTCGATTCCGGTTCCTAACGATTCTCGATTCCGATTCTTTTAAGAGGCAGGGTCAAAAACGTTTAGCTAACCTTGCTAACCAACGGCCTTTCAGAAGGAAATAATCCTTTCTGAAGGAAATACTCCTTCTGTAAAAATACTCCTTTGTTAAAAATACTCCTTTTGTCACAAATTTTGCATTTTGCCGAGATTTCGTTATTTTTAGAAAAGTGAAGCCACACTTTGGATCGCCGACGTAAGGTACTCATGTTCGACTCGCGTGGTTATGCCAACACTTCATTTCAACACAATGTTGTTCATTGGTTTCTTCTTCCGCTCGGCGGACTGTGAATATCGTAACTAGGAATCAAAATTTTAACATTTTTTTAAACGATTCCGGGAAAAACGAAAAGTTAGTCTCGGTTCCAATCGATACTCGATTCTCGATACCCAACCCTACGCAGGAGTGCAATGCACAAAGCGAAATCCCAAATCGGCAGTGCAGCATTTTAAGGACAGTGAAACCGCATCTGTAGAATACGGCAAAAACGGTAATCACCTCAATTGACAAACTGAATTAAAAGGAACTATTAGGTCAAATTCCCTCTCAGAAGGAATCAAAGGATATTATGACTCTTATAGACTTTAGTCAGGGTAGTGCCTTATTTAATTTTTAACGGGAATGAAAACAAGGCTGTGAGGGATAGAATGCAGTGCGTTCCATGGATTGCAGGATTCCAGACTGCAACCAAATACGTCGCATATGCAACCATTTTTTGAGAATGTGCGAGTTAAAATTTTATGTGGTCACATGTGCGAGTGAACGCCGTTGTATCAGCTGCTGCAGTCCGTAATTTATGTTCAAAATAGGCTAAATCATGAATCCATTTTCCAAACCGTGTTTTTGACTTATCCTGCTGAATCACGCCTATAATAAGCGTTTATATTCGGGGACTATTTTATCCCGGAGTCGACTCGGATGCGGAGTTGCCCAGTGCCTGCGTGACTCGCCATAGATATTAAAGGGTTAGTTCACCCAAAAATGAAAATTCTGTCAGTATTTACTCACCCTCATGTTGTTCCAACCCCGTAAGACCTTCGTTCATCTTCGGAACACAAATTAAGATATTTAAGATATTAAGATCGCTCCTGCATACAGTCCATAGACTTCTTGAGGGACTGTCTCTTGCTGTCCCCGAAAAGTCATTAAAGACATCGTTAAAATAGTCCAAGTGACTACAGGGGCTCAATCTTAAGTTTATCAAACGACGAGAACACTTTTGTGCGCAAAAAAACAACCAAAATAACGACTTTATTTCAACTATTCACTTCCTTCTCCATGAGCCTGTAAGTCAGTTAACGTAGTGTGATTGCGTAGAGCTACGTCACACGTAGGCTCACTATTGGCCGAAGCTGGTCATGTGTGTGTGATGCGTGTGACGTACAATAACAGAAGCTTACGCTATTAAGCTAGTAACCTGACTCGCGCAGAGGGAGAAATAAACAAATAGTTGAAATAAAGTCGTTATTTTTGTTGTTTTTTTGCGCACAAAAGTGTTCTCGTCGTTTGATAAACTTAAGATTGAGTCCCTGTAGTCACTTGGACTATTTTAACAATGTCTTTAATGACTTTTCGAGGACAGCAAGAGCCAGTCCCTCAAGAAGCCTATGGACTGTATGCAGGAGCGATCTTAATATCTTAAATATCTTAATTTGTGTTCCGAAGATGAACGAAGGTCTTACGGGGTTGGAACAACATGAGGGTGAGTAAATACTGACAGAATTTTCATTTTTGGGTGAACTAACCCTTTAATGGAGAGAAGTAGCTCCGGCTACAGTGTTCTTCCGTAAGACATGTGCGGTTTATTTATTGACGAACGTAGACGTCACGCGCATTGCACGTTGATGGTGGAACGCGCCAATTACGAATACACGGATTAAGGCATATAAAAATTAAAATGTCTCACAAAACAGCGTGCCCCATCCTACGTCTTTTTTTTAAAGCGATTAGATGAGAGTAATCGCTCGACTGAGGAAAAGGAAATTATTATAAAATGCAGAAGGTAAGGAGTGTGAGATTTCTGATTTTTGTTACAACTATACACTTTGATAACGAAAAATCTGTATTAGCTTATTATAATACTCTAATCTTTTAAAATGTCATGAATACATTTGAATGTTTAATGATGTTTTAAAAGATAGAAAGATTATGCTGATAGAAAATAGATAGATAGATAATGATTCAAATTTAAATAGATTGTATATAATTCAAATGTAAAATGCTTAAAATTACTGTACAAAATCCATGAAAATCCAGAAATTTGGCAATAATATCAAGTATTTATATTGCAACCCAGAAAGCCTTTGCTAGCTTTGGTCCATTAAAACCACTATTCATCAGCATGCATTGATTAATCCCATGGCATGTAGCAAAAAAAAAAAAAAAAAAAAAAAGGTGCGACCAAATCAAATGCTGGTGCGACCAACTGAGAAAGTTGGCACCAGTTCAACCACTGGAAAAGTTAATCTGGACCCTGGAGCCCTGGATTGTACTGCTGTTTAACATAACAAAACGTCCCACCCCCACTCACCCCACCCCAGAGTATCAGAGACTTCTTTCAAAAACACAAATCTTACCCAACAACAATCCTTGCAGGACTTGCAAGGGTACAACATTTAAGACACCTTGTCTTAATAAATGACAGCAAGCCATGCATGTTCATCCCCATCCCCACACAGTATAACATCGTATTGAATTCAATTATCAATCGACATTCTTCTTAGCTCAAACTCTTTTGCAAAGGCTGTTGTTGTCAGTCAAAAGCAAGGCTGCATAAAGGCTTCAGTACTGTTGCAGCCTGTTCAGCACAACATGTTACAGGCCTACACGTCCATATGACAGTCAACCCAGGGTGGCTTGTTCTAGTCTGTAGCTGTTGGAAGTGGGTGTGAACCATTCATTCATCCATGCGAGAAGAGCAAAACTAGGCCTGCCAGCGATGAGCTCATTCGTTTAGCCAACGGACTCCTCTCACCAGAACAGATGGGCGATCAGACTGCAAATTTGAGCCAGCAGTCTCTCAACTGTAACAAAGCTAACTTGAAACTTAACCATAACAATTCTCCTTTGTTATACAATTTCAACACCACTGTAGAAATCTAGCTGTATACGTATTCGACTTACAAATTAGGTAACATTCACCAAGTCTTGGGAGCCTGGTGATAGATTTATTTTGGGAAAAAATTATGCTGATCCACTCTAGCCAACGGTTAAAGTTAGAGTAGATCCAACTCAAGGACTATCAATTTCAACTGTTTTTCGTGGGCAGATCCAACAGCGAAATGCATCCAAGTGCCTCTTGTTCCTACCACTTTTGCACAACCTTGGGGAGCCCGCGCCCACGCCGCCCTGGAGAGCCCTGCCACCTTGACATTCCTGGAAAAGCACTGCGCAAATTTCACGTCTATATATACATAAAGTGAATCAATGCCTGATGTCTGGTTTTAGCAATTTACAGATTGGAACTGACCCAGAGGTCATGCACGAGTGCATAAAATAGCATGCACGTTTCTGCAAGTCAGTGCAAAGCAATTGTGTGATATTACATTTAGTGGGAAATAGCCTACATCAATTAAATTTAATTACAATGCCATCAAGTTGATAGTTAAAATAAAGAAAATACGTTTGACAGAGAGAGAGAGATAAAGACAGCATACAAACTAAATTTACAATGCAAAATGAATGAATAATGAATTTCCAATAGCAGCATGATCAGAGCTGCTTTGACAGATGTCAGACTCTGTGTGAACTTGTCTCTTTCAGTCAATGCAAATCTAAAACTCAGGGGGAAAATGCTTAAAAGTCCAGCATAAAAAAGAAAAGTGCATGCAACTGGTTTCAAGAGAAAGCAGCACGTCCATGTCAACGAGCATAGCGCTGTGATTGAATGAACAAATCCAAGCAAGAAAATTAAACATACTCGGGAAAAACAACGATGACAAATTGTAACATGTTTACAAGTATAAATGCATCTTACCAAACCATGCCGTATGCACCTTCTCCGATGTACGAGAGGTTGCTGTAACGCGGCCCGACATCGAAAGCCTGACCGCGGACCAACTCGGCACCGGATCCGGGGTTCGAGCCGCCGCCAGTAGGGGCAGATACCGCAGCTGTCGCCATTTCTGAGAAACTGAGCTGCCTTTACACGCACAACAAACGCTCTTTTCTTACCCAAAGCAGATTATAAAGATCAGGAAAAAGCTCCTCGGTTGAAAAAACACGGCGAGAGGCAGTATAAGCGACGTGTTTAAACGAAACCGAAGACTTGGCGTCAGAGTGAAAGGAAAGGGACGGCTGGAACGTTGTTTACTGGCATATATGTAGTGATAGTAATCTGCGCGTGGTGAGACTGACTGACTGCAGGAGCAGCAGAGGTAGCGCGAGCGAGAGTGTTGCCGCAGGAAGTAACGGAGCAGATCACGTGGGCAGGGAGCGGAGAGTGGTTACCATAGAGATAGAAGTTACACACTTCAGTTCTCAAGAGGTTTTAAAGATGCCTTAATTTACAAAGTCAGACGAGGGTAATCTGTTGATAAATCGGGATTTATGATGGGTTGGTCATCCTGATTTTACAAAATTATGAATCTAATAGTTAGGAAATTATTAACAGATCTATCATATTGCAACACGAACTGAGTTCAGTTTAAGCATAACGTTACAGGAACAGGAAAGTTATTTTTATGGAAAGTAAACGTAATGTGTTGCGTTACTTTTGTAACTTTTTCTCACCTGGCCTGGGCTTGCTTGTTTTTAATAACAAAAATATAAATATAGCCTATATTTTTGGCAAATGTTAAGACCCTTTTGCATCAAAAGTGAAATTAATAAGTTTAACGCTGAATGAAATGCAAATCCACACCTGCGCCTTTCCCCTCAATTTGTTTTTTCAACAGGTGTTGGAAAATGGGAAAACAGAGTAGGCCTACTGGCGTTACTTATTATAAAATGTAAGTTACGAACGAAATGATATTTTTAAAATTTAAAATGGATATGTTGCTTTACCAGTTAGGGCAGGCTACTTAAAAAATCTGTTTACACTTATCCCCAACACTGCTGAGGTAAAGGGGTGACAAACAGTACAGTAGCCTATAAGTTATACATTTCTGTGTACAAAGCATTTACAGGAGGGAAAAAAAACTTTATTATTTGATTTGTGTAAATGTTAGGCCTAATGATGTTAATAAATATTAAATGTAGCCTACTAGAATTGGTCATCGCTCAACAGGTTCTTGGACGTGACTGTGGTAACAAGAGGTAAAAACGTTATAAATACTGTTCATTTTCTCACACTAACCGCTCGTTTTGTGTTTTAGGCCATCAATGTTACATTTACAAGTCATTAAATCATATTTAATTTGGACTTCTCTGTGCATGCTCTTTGATGTAGACCCCCTAAACCTCCATTATATGACTGACAGACAAGAACGGTTTGACCGAAAAATGTCAAAATTGACAAAACTGTGGAAACAAAGACACTACATCTTGGATGCCCTTGAGGTAAGCTAAAACATCAAAAAATTATTTCAAAGTGTACTATCCCTTTAAAGTCATTTTTAAAGAATGTTGGAAATTAAAAACTTGACGTTGACTAATGACTATTGACTTCCATAATATTTTGGAATCGTTTTTTTTTCTACTATGGAATTCAATGGGTGCTGTCAACTGTCTAGTTCCAACATTACCATCATTTTTGGGTAAACTATAACTTTAAGTTAAACGAACAGCAAAACACAACTTTGATTTATACAGAGAACAACGTTATTTTACATTTAGGCCTAATTATTACAAGCCTGTACCTACACTACAGTTACACACACGCATAACAAACAGTAACTTTCTTATGCGTGTATGTGTAGTATGTGAATCAAAAACCGTAATATGATCCGAACCACGAGTTTTGTGATTTGTTGAACACTATATTTAGGCTATTTGTAAGCTGTAATTTGGTCATGAAGCAAATAAAATAATTTTTGCCTAAAGAGTTTTGCTCTGTAGCCATTTTGTTGTGACTGTACAATCATGTTTGTACATGTCTCTGTGTACTAGATTTGCAATATCTTTAAATCTTAAACGAAGCTATCACGTTTTCTCATGAGACTGTAAGCTCCTGTGGAAGGAGACCATGGTAAGCTATAGTTGAGTGGTTTACTTGTGCCAACCACACTCGAGACAGTTAAACTAAAACTGTCAAGTGTGTAAACCACTAGTGCAGGTCACAGAAGGAAAATGATGCAAACAAATACAGACACCAAACGGATGTGAAAAGTACTTTATTCGCATTATATGAGATTAAAGCCAATGTTTGTATCCATGACAAGCTGCATAAGAGATGCTTCCCGCAATTGCTGGGAAATGCCACAGGATAGCACATTCAGATATGTTTTAACAGACATAAAATAAGTCGCTGACATCAACATTACCATGCGAGAACATTTAGTAACACGATTCACTGTATACTCAGTGTGGAATTAGTATGATTTTATCCAGTATAAAACTGCACAAAACGTTACTTGTACACAACGTTAGCTAGTAAGGAGACAAAGTTAGGTCCAAAAAGAGTATGATCCCTTAGGTTTATCAGTCAAGTTGACTGTACAAAAAATGATAATTCTGAAAATTATATTGAGATAAGGCACTTTATCACATATGTACATGTTCACTTTTTAGTAATACAAACAGCAACAATTACAAAATGTCCTGTGAAACAAAATGCAGGCAAAAAGTTTGTATAAAATTGCACATCAGCACAAAATCTACTGATGCGTACGTTCAAGATCACTTTATCTTTACTTTTTACTAGACAAAAACACATGTAAGCCTAGTTCAGTGCTCAAACCCTTTAAAAATACAACATTAATACAACTAAGTAACACAAATGCATTAGAGGTCAAGATCAATGCACTTTTTGAATGAACAATTTCATTTGGCACTACTGTGAATGTAAAAGGAATCGTTCAAAATGAAAATTCTGACATCATTTACAGTACGTCATTGAATAGATATCATGAAGAATACTTTAACTGCCCATGAAAGTCAATAGAGTCCAAAACAAAATTTTTCAAAATATTTCATTTTGTGTGACACACTCAAAAAAAGAGTGATACAGGTTTAGAATAACATTAGGCAGAGTAAATGATGACAGAACATTGAAATTTTGAGAAAAAATAAGGCATTGGTAAACTATAATTAACCACTGAGATGTTACAAAATTCCCCATCGATGGAACGTCCCATTTCCTAATGAACACAGTGCTGATTCTAATGCATAGATATTTGGCTTATACGGTCATTGACAATTACGAAACTGATACAAAGGGGAAAACAAAATAGAAAAATACATATTACAGAATTAGCATCCCATATCTAAACTGAAAGAGCAATTCTTTTGTTTGTCAATATAGGGGAATTAACACCAGATTTACAAAATACAGTGAGGTCCGAATGTCTGAGACCACTGTCAAAAATGCTTTTTCATATTATTATATTTGTTTAAAATTCATGAAAAAGAAAAAAGAAATTTATACATAATATATATTTGGGATTTTTATTTTAAGAAATTAATATTTTTTATTTAGCAAGGATGCATTAAATGTATCAAAAGCATCAGTCAAGACTTTTACAATCTTACAAAAAAAAATTAAAATTTCAAATAAATGCCGTTCTTTTAAAATGTAAAAAAAAAAGTATATGTTTCCACAAATATATTAAGCAGCACAATGATGCTGAAAATTCAGTTCTGCCATCACATGAATAAAATTCATTTTAATTTTTTTATTGTAATATTTCACAATATGACTGGTTTATTGTATTTTTGATCAAACAAAAGCATCCTTTTTGCATATGAAAAAATAATAGTAGTGTAAATATTTTAAATCCCAGATTTTCATTGTGGTCTCAGACTTCAGGATGCCACTGTACATTTTGGAGATTTTTAAATATGCTGAATAATGAGCATTTTAAGGTAATCTAAAGCAGTCTTTTTTTATTCAAATATTGAATGCAAAAGGACTGAACCTACCAGGGAAAAACAAGACATTTTCCCCATACATACACCAAATCAACATATCGCTCTGTCTTCACCTTCCACATATGGTTTACATTAGGTTAGCGATATTCTTGGCCTTATCACATTATAGTGACTGTGCTACTATATCAGCTACTCATCACGAGGCTTTCAAAATATTGAGTGTCTGTAATGCGAGACGACTTGCGGCATGCAGGACGTGTGGTTTGCAAAGCCAGGCTATGATAATACAACACACACGCCAGTATTAACACTGATATTTAGGGAAAGAAGGCACTGCAACAAAACGCATAAGGAAATGATATGAATAAATAAAAGTTCACTGTACATTTAGAAAACTACAGTAGCGTTCAGCAACCGAGAGATGATCTTGGCAAAGTCAGACTTTTGGCACATGAAAGAGCGTGTTTACACAGTACAGTACAGCCATAAATATAGATTTTTTCAAATAAATAACAGTTTTAAAAATACTAACCATCTACAACACTGGAGTACATCTGCTGACAAGAGCTGAAGGCCTTACGGGCGACTATTTCATTATTGAAGCCGATGTGGTCCGAAACGCAATGCAATACTGTATCTGTTAAGACAATTCACATTAGTTTTCTCTCCGTTGTAACAGTCGTATCAAATAAGGAGTGCAACGAACAAAGTACGCACTGAAAAATGTCCTTAACACGTCTCAAAGGTTTTACGCACCAGTAAATGTAAATATAAGCTGGTAAAAACAAGGCAAATAGTTAAAAAAATGGAAACAAAAATGAAAGCAAGTTCAGACTTAGCAACAAAGAGAGTTAATAAGGATCCGACATTCTTGGGTGGGGAATAAAAAACAAACGAGGAAACGCCTTTCACTGACGTCCAATGCTTTCTTCTGAATGCATGAATGGACTTGCTTTTCAAATTCAACAACTCACATCATTCGAGATGGTGTAAAGACCATCAGCTTCTATCATGTATAATTTCTTCCCGTTTTCAGATGATCGTGGCTGCAGCCGTAGCTCCTTCCTCTGTTCTCGAGCTCGTCTCGTGGGTCAAAAGTTGCTGAGGCTCCTTCAGGAACACCAGAAGAACTGTGATGTTATCACTGGATCCAGCAGCTTTGGCCTGGGCCACCAGACTTTGGGCCACGTCCTCCCCCGAGCCTTTGCCCTCCCTCAGAGCTTCCAGGACCAGCCCCGGCACGTCCCCAGGCCGGACCACGTCAAAGAAGCCGTCACAGGCAAGGAGGACGTAGTCTTCATCCCCGTTCAGATGGACCGATGAGCTGTCAGCTTCATTAGAGACGTACGGCTTCTGATCAAAATCACCTTTTGAGGATAAGAAAAAAAATGTATAACATTAATTTTACTAACTTGCCCTGTAAATACTACTACATTACTTTTAAAAAAAGAGACACTTTTTACAATAGAAGCAAATTAATCCATTTAGCTATAAATAGAGCTGGGTAATACAGCTAAAAATATACATTATATATTACATATATACAGTACACTATCGTCAGTGGTGGAATGTAACGAAGTACAAATACTTCGTTACTTTACTTAAGTACATTTTTTCACGTATCTTTACTTTACTTAAGTAGAATAAATAGTGCATACTTTTTACTTTTACTTCGTTACATTTTGCAGCAATTATTATACTTTCTACTCCACTACATTTCTACAACTTCTGTTACATTTTCATTACATTTTCTGATCAGTTTTTCCCCGGCCAAAACGTAATCTGACCATCCGTTCGTTGCACGTTTGTCTCACCAGTGACGTTTGGTTGCTATAGATACATCAACTAAATGCGTCTCGCACGCAGTGTGTTTATCGTGCAATTTATACGCGAAAATTTGTTTTTACATGCTTAGGAAACGCACCGTGTGTAATATACGTTTGGTTAGGATTATGGCAAGCCAAGAGGTTCAGAATTACACTATAAATGAATCGCGTTTACGGCCAAAGTTATTAACATACAGTAAGGATATGGCTTATATTGCCTAATTGCAAGCTTGTTTCAGAAATGGTGACAACAATTTTTTTCCATCATTATTGAACATCATTATAGGAGTATTAGGTTCAATGAGTTAGAATTAAATGTTTTATTAATCATTAGAAAATAGTCATTAAGAGAATCATTTATTATGCAAGTACTTTTACTTTTAATACTTAAAAGTACATTTAAAATCAGGTACTTTTTACTTTTTACTTAAGTATGGTTGTCATTGTGTTACTTCTACTTTTACTAAAGTAAATATTTATCTGGTTATTTGTACTTTTACTTAAGTACTGAGATTCAGTACTTCCTCCACCACTGACTATCGTTCAGATTTGGGATCAGTATGACTTAAAAAAATATTTAATTCATCAAAAGTTACAGTAAATATATTTATATTTCAAATCCTGAAAAAATCTATCAGTTTCAAAAAAATAAGCAAGCAGGACAAACTTTTTTAACATTAATAATAATAAGCAATGTCTCTTGAGCCGCAGATCAGCGTATTAGAATGATTTCTGAATGATCATGTGACACTGAAGACTGGAGTGATGATGCAGATTCAGCTTTGTATCACAGGAATAAATTACATTTTACAATACAATCTAAAATAAAATACATCTTAATATTTTTAAACCATTTATCCTGATATTAATGCATTTGCCCTGAATTACTTAATTACTCTTTTTTTATTTTATAATAGATTCAAATTGTCTCCCACACAGTTTTTCACTACATGAACAAACAAAAATTATATATGCACCAATATAGCATCTTAATAATAATTACCAACATAGATTCAATAATTGATCAATGTTCACGGATATGATTTTTTTCATTTACTAAAATGTGTTAATAAAATATGAGTTTTGTATTGATACGCTGAAATGAAAAGTCCTTTTCTGCAACTGAAATATAATCAGAGACACTATTAAAGCGTCCATCTTATTACTTTAAAATCACTGAAATTCACATTGTTGAATATTTAAATATCTTGCAAATATTCAATATATCAGCCAGTCGTACTTTTAACTACTTATGGAGCGATTCACACTTGTTAAAAGAGCAAGTTGCGAGTCAGTGGAACGGAAAAAGAAAAAAAAAAAAGCGCAAGATCTAGAGACGCGTTTTTAAAAAAAAGTTTAATGGAAAAACTAGAGCAGTGGAATGGAAAAGAAAAACGCATTCTGTGGGAAATATCCGAATGTTTTTTTGGTTTACTGTTGTTTTAAGGCTAAGACATTCACCTATTGCTCTGGAAACGGCGTAGGTACCATTTACCCGCCAACAACCCATGAAAGCGATGCATCCACCCAGATCCTCAATCCTTTTCTTCTCATCCTGCACAGAAGCACAAGCACAAACAGTCAAAATACTGGAGCTTTTACATACTACGTATATTGAAATAGGACAAGCAAACCCCTATATTTACCTAATTACAAATCTCGTAAAGAGATACTTCAGGATTTAGCATTAAGCTTTGCATTAGTAGAAAACCTGTAGTATTTTCCAATTACCGAGCTTTCCACCCTCATATCCCCCTGAGGCGAGAGATTTATGTATTTTTTGTCTGGAAAAAAATCCTCCGATGACGCAAAAATCCTCATTTTGCGTCATCGGAGGATTTTTTGGCCAAAGGCTAAAGACTTCAGTCAGTAGTAGGGTCTGTCCCGCATGTTCTCAACCCGCCAATAGAGGGCGCTCACACACAGAATGAACACATAGTGTCAGCCATCTTTTTTTGGAAGCTAAGCTAGCAGGCTCTTGTTCTGTGGAGAAAGCGGAGTAGTACGTCCACTTTTCCCCGGACATGTCTGGCCGTCGAGGTCCGGGATTCAGCTTTCGCTTTCTGCAATCGCCATTCCTTGTTTACATGGACAGCTTTTGTTTCAATCTAACTGAATTCATTCCGATTGGTGAATCTGAATTTAGTGTTTACATGAACGCTAAACAAGTGATCGGTTGATGTGCGTTTTAACATTGCTAAGAAAATTCCCGCTCCTCCGTGAGAGATACGAGACCGGTGCGTCTCACAGGTGTCGCTCATCGGTAATCACGCCACTGGCCTCGCGTCGTTCTCCCGCGGCCCTCACTCGTCCCGCTCGCCACAGTAAACATGATGAATGGCGACTGTAGACCGCAAAAGCCGAATCCCGGACATTTTGGGCGATCTAGAAAAACATTATCGGGCAGACTCATCACGAGACTCACTAGTAGCCTAGACTTGTTGTT